GATGCCATGAATTCCAAAATGGCACAGTCCTGAGCCTGGTGGTGGGTAAAGAGATGGGAGCACAGGGAGTAGAGATCTCAGATAGACCCCTCCCAGGAAAGAAGCTGCTTCTTCAAGCTCCGAGAGGTGGGCGGGACTCCTGTGTGGTGGCAGGTTGTGGAGGGTAGAGTCTGTGCTTGCTTTTTGTTTTATTTTGTAAAAACAAAATCCCCATGACTCTAGCGCAGTATCAAGCACGCACAGAGGTATTTAAGAAATGCATGTGTTAAAAATGCAACCTAAATCATGCTGGGGAAGCTCCTGCCATTTGAAGCAAGGCTACCAGGCCTCCTAAGAGTTCCTACAATTCTCCCTTCAAGAGGAGCTAAGGGGACTGATCAAGGGTAGTTGATTTGTAGTGCACACCCTTAATCCCAGTCACTTGGGAGGTAGAGGCAAAAGGCTTGCAAGTTCGGAACCAGGCATGTGTTATTGTAACAATACATGCAAAGTTAGGGGACCCTATCTCAGGAAAACCCCAACAACAACAACATAAACTCACAGTTGTGATTAAAAAGCAGCTAAGTTGAAATGTTATATTTATTCCATATTCCAAACCTTTTATTTCTGAACACGTGTAATTTTTAATCTGCTTTTTTAATGAACTGTAAGTTGTGAATGTTTAGGTGCCCTAGGCTTACCCCTGCCTTAAAAAAAAAAACAAAAAGAAAAACCGGAAAAACAAAATACAGAACTATAGGGCTGGGCGTTCAGGTGGCCAGCGCCTGATGAGCATACATGAGGGCCTGGGTTCAAAAACAAAAAAGAGAAGAGCAGGTGATATGCCCAGATCTCACTGACCCTGGAAAACAGAGGTGAGACTTGCCTGGACTCTCTTTCCCCTGCTGGCTGAGTGAATTGCCTTAGGTGCTGTGTAGTTATAAACAAAACATCTTTGAAGCAATCATAAGACCTTGAGATGAAATAGAGAAATTATGATTTTGCAAAGAGACTTTACCAGGTCATTTCTTGCTTAGGATCCCATGTGACTGCACAGGTTCCTCTTTAGGAAAATGAGACCTGCATGCCGCCACTTGAAAACACCTCCCGCCTCTCTGCTGAACCTTCTCCCCTCCTGCCTTTTCTTCTCCCGTATACAGAGCTGTTTAGAGGCAGGAAGAAGAATAAAGGCCATTTTCAGCCTGTTCTTGTTTCTTTCTCTGGGCCACATCTGTTTTGTAAAAGCTGTTGAGTTGAAATCTAGGTCCCAATACATGGAACCTGAACATAACAGCGGCTGGAAAGACGTATAACAGTGCTGCTATAGTCAGCATTAGAGAAGGTCACGTGTTCATTAATTTATATTTAGCGGGTAGCTAAATTCTGCACCCTGGGAATACAATGATTGTGATGGAGGTTTAGACCTTACCAAGAGGCCCAAAGCTTATGAAAAAATGATAGAGTCTGGGAAGTGTGTTACCAAGTGTAGGGCCAAGTGTTCTTCTTCTGTCTTCACATCTGTCACAGCACTTATAACCTTGTATTATAATTGTCTCTTTGCCTGATTGTAAGTTCCTGAGAAATAGAACAGTTTCTTCTTTATCACTGGTGGCAACTGTAGGGCTTTTCTGTGGGACAGTTTCTTCATAGGAGCCCTGGAAAGCACAGGGCTCTTGGTAGAAAGCTCCATTTCCTCATCTGTAAACAGGGCAGGTATCTTTTTCACTAGGACCTTTTTCACTGAGCCCTCAAGAGGGCTATATGAGAGGAAGTAGGTGAAATGCTCAGCACTATGCCCAGCACACAACCATAAAGGTGTCTGTTGTGGGCTGTCATTTCCTTCTCAGTCACACTGAGAAATAACTTTTAACCATCAAAAAGCCAGAGGTGGAGGTGTGGCCAAAGTGGTAGAGTGCCAGTCTTGTGCAAAAAAGCTCTGCGACAACCCCCAGGCCCTGAGATCAAGCTACCAGTATGCCCCACATACACAAACACACACGCGTGCACACGTGCACATGCACACACACACACAGAGCTTTTTAATTTACTTCAAATGCTTTTTTTTGTCTCAACTGTCTAAACAACTTCCATTTCTAGGACAGTGGGTTTAATATTTCTTATGAAACAAGAAAATGTCCCTTATTAAAATGTAAGATCAAAAGCATCAAATAGAAACAGCACCTTTATGAAAAATAAAAATTTATAAGTATGTTGATCCAACAAACATGGTAAGAAGGAAAGCAGCTGAAAACATTGGAAATTTCTCAAAAAATAAAAGGTAGGTTTATCATACGATTCAGTAATTTCACCCCCAGATATCTCTCTACCCAGAGGAACTGGAAATAGGAAATCCTTATACTGTTTGCAGAAGCACTATTTACAACAGTCTGAAGTTGGGCACAACTCAAACGTCCATCAACATATGAACAAACCGCCATGCATGCAGATGATGTAATATCACTGATCCATGTTACAACCTGTATGAACCTTAAAAAACACTATGCTAAGTGAACAAAGTCTGTCACAAATGGTCACAAACTGTGTGATTCCTTTGACAGGAAGTACCCAGAGAAAGCAGTAGGAGGAAACTTCTTAATGTGTTTTATTCTGGGGCACTGAAAATGTTTTAGGACCAGATAAAGGCGGTGGTTGTGTAACTCTGCCAATGTACCAAATGCCCCCTGAACTGTTCACTTTAAAATGATTAACTCTGTGAAATGAGAATTTCACCTCTATAAGATAGTATGGGAGATAATGCTAACCTTCCTTGAAATCTAGTAGGTAGTACAGCAGACAGAAGGCGACACTGCTCATTATTGATCATGTGAGAAGAACAAAATGTTGCTGTGTACGTATTCATTCATTCCACTCTTTTACCAAACAGTAGTGGCCACATTACTGGTCCTTTACTTTTAAAAAAGTTTTTTTCTCCTTCCCACTCAGGCCCCATTTTGAAGGAATGATATTTTTCACATCCCTAAGATCTCATTCCTGGAAAATGTCAGTCAGAAACACCTGACATTCTTCCCTGTGTGGCACATGTGCGTGACGGTTCTTCTCCTTGGGCCCAGACAGTCTGGAAGTGAGGTTTGTTTTTTCCATGTCTGGAATTAGAAAGCCATCTAGCCACCGAAAGGATCCACACCCAGCTTCCTCGCAGAGGTCAGTCATGTCCCTGTGCAACACGGGGAAGCACACAGCCATTTTGAAATCAGCCAGTATCCTCCGGAGCCCTGCAGAGCATTGCTCTTTTTTCCTGACCCAATGAAGGCTTTGGTCCAAACATCCCGTAGCGCAGGATCTGAGTTTCTAATTTGGAAACTAGGAGAGCTATGAGCAGCCTGTGTCTAGGTGGCACTGTGAGCAAATGTGCCTCCCTCTCCCAGGGGATGTTTCATTATGGGATGGTGTGGGTCACCTGCGCAACGAGCCTGGAGGTTTTAATCTAGGCCACCTTTAGCACTGTGCTGGCAACTGCTGCTCAGCAGATTGTGGGCCTTGGGGCAGGAGGGAATGTTCCAGGTCAGGAGTGGAAGATACAGGGAGAGAGGGAGGGTGGACACCATCAACAAGAAAAGGGCTTTTTCTTTTTTTGGTCAGGGTGAAGTTCAGCGCTGTCCCTGAGATTTTTTGCTCAAAGCTAGTGCTCTACCACTTTGAGACACAGCTCCATGACTGGTTTTTGAGTGGTTAATTGAAGGTAAGAATCTCATGGGGACTTCTCTAGCTTCAAATCAGATCTCTACCTCCTGAGAAGCTAGGATTACAGGTGTAAGCCACCAATGCCTGGCTTGCTGATGGTTTTGAATATTCTGCCTCGCATAATGCTGGAGAATCAATGTTGTATTATTATTATTATTATTTTGTTGGTCGTGGGGCTTGAACTCTTGGCCTGGGCACTGTCCCTCAGCTCTTCAGCTCAAGCAAGGCTAGTGCTCTACCACTTGAGCCACAGCACCACATCCAGTTTTCTGGTGGTTTATAGAGATTCACAGACTTTCCTGCCTGAACTGGCTTTGAGCCATGATCCTCAGATCTCAGCCTCCTGAGCATCTAGGATTACAGGCATGCGCCCCCAGTGCCCGGTGTACTGTACTCTTAAGATACCCTGGTGAGGGTGGGGTGGGGAACAGCAATGGCTACCATCTTTGCATGCCTTAATTCTTCATAGCACTGTTAGATAAATGGCTATTAAGAACACAGCATGCATGCTGAACATCGATGGAGCCCAGAAAGATTACAGGGCCTTTTATTTCCTCCAGGTTCCTAATCGCTGGGAAGGTCACCTTGACCCCACTTAGCTGCTGAGTGGTTTCAGGCAATGTGTGAGTAGCTGACGGAAGCAGGCAGGCTGCGACCGAGGCCATGGGTATCTGGGGGATCACTGGCTGAGGGAAAGCCTGCATGTTGTCCTGTTGGTGGAATTACATAAAAAGCTAAGATTACACCCGGCGTAATCCTAGTACTCGGGAGGTTGAGATCTGAGGATCATAGTTCAAAGCCAGCCCAGGTAGGAAAGGCCCTGAGACACTTATTTCTAATTAAACACTAGAAATCTGGAAGTGGTGCTGTGGCTCAAAGTATTAGAGTACTAGCCTTGAGCAAAAGAGCTAAGGGACAGTGCCCAGGCCCTCAGTTCAAGCCCTACAACTATCCAAACAAGAAAAAAAGCTAGGGTGAAAGGGATAGCCTCAGTATCTTCTTTGAGTCTGGGAGAGAATAAGTATACTCCTGATTAAAGAGCAGTGTTCTCTTCTCTTATTCAATTGTCTCTGTCATTTAGGCTAAGAGACAGCATCTCCAGTGTGTCATTCTGCTCCCCTAATATCAAAGCTAACGGAACTCCCATTCCCTTGCTTGTCCCCTTGCCCCCAGACACAGCCTCTACACCCCTCTCCGCACCCACGACCCCCATCTCAAAACAATATATAGACAGAAGCATTTATCTGATCATCACTATTCGTATACTTTATTCCCTCTCTTCTGCCATTTTTTTCCTATGATTTTCCTGGAAGCCTAAAAGAAATTGCTGATAGTTTTTCCTTAAACCTATTCATCTTGAAATGAGGGTTGTATTTGAGGAGAAGGAGAAAAATCAAAGAAAAGGATCCCGAAAAACACCTTATGGGTACTGAGGAAGAAGCAATAGACAGTTAAGAGCCCAGGCAAATCTGTGGGGGAGGGAAGGGTTCGTGGGAGAACCACAGAGGAGGGGGTAACAACGCTCTAGAAGAAATGTACTCATTACCTTGCTCATAACCCCTCTGCTCAGCATCTTTACAATCAAATACAATTAAAAACAACAACACCCTTTTAGTTCTGATTTGGCCAAGAGTTGATAACAATGGTTAGATTTTCTTTCATTTCTTAAAGACAGACTCCATGGAGGGAACTTGTTTACACTGTGGGTGCTAGTCTCTTACAGGGGGGGTGGGGAGGGCGGGCGGAGATTGCATCTGGCCCATGTGTGGCCCCTTGGGAGTTGCCCCTGGGGAAAGTTTCCTGATGTTTTTGTGACGTTCACTTGGGCTCTGTGCCACCTTCTTCTGGTACTGTGGCATTTAGTGTCCACTCGGGTCCCTGATGATGTCCTATTCAGATGGTTCAGACCGATGTGGGGGAATTGTCAGGCCCCTGTGCTGGTCTGCAGCCCTGGGATATAGCTCCTAGACGATATTGCTGTTGACTTTCTCTTTGGTGTTTGGAGAGGAGAAAAGTCTATCTTGCCCCTGTCCTTATCTTTCTTACTGCACCCATGACGAGGTCCAATTGTTCACCTGAATCCTTTCACATCAAACAGTGAGTTATGGATGAGTGTTGGAGGTGTAAGGCTGACACTTAGGCTAGTCTCCAGTACATTTTTAATCTCTGAGGCCAAACAGGCTTTTGGTTTGTTTGTTTTGTTTTGAGACAGGGTCTTGTTAAGTCCCTCAGAATAGCCTTGAACTTAAGGTCCTCCAGACTTAGCTGCCCCAGTGCTGAGATTACTATACCCATCAATCTTCATGACAAATTTGACAAAACATTGAAAGGGTTTTAGGTAATTAAGGCACCAAGTGTGGTCTATGTTCTAAAGGGGTATCTGGAACTCCTGAGGAAAGTATGAGGATTGAATTGCTGGAACAGAGGCAATGGGGGCTTGCATGGAAATTGTCCTAAAGGAGCAGCTCTATCTACATCTCCTCAGGATCATTGTGCACCTGTTTGCTCCTGAGGCCACGGCGGAAAGATTCAACCTTTGAGTGAGAGCCTTTCATTTCCTCTTTGCCAACATCTGAATGCCTACATGTGTTCTGTGCACATGAAGGTCCGGTATTAGAGACTGAGGTAATATGGTATATTTCTAAACAGATAGACAAGGAACTCAGATTCTGATCTCTCTATTAACCACTGCGTGATCAAGGTATTTGCTTACCCTCCCGGAACTTTCCTTTGCTGGTCTGTGAAGTGAAGGGTGGGGTTGACTCATCTCAAAAGTGTTTTTCCATTTGAAGTCTCTGAGTCTGTGGTTACTTCCTCTTCACCAACAGTCAGACTTGACTAGAAAGAACTCTGTTCACTTAAAAGTTTTTGGTGCAGGCACAAAGGTGAAGTTCTACTATGGTGGAATCTATCACTTTTCCCTGGGATAAGGAAAAGCCAAAAATAGACCTAAGTTACCAACTGATGCTCAGATTCAGGGCCACTGCTACCTTAACCAGCACCTTGAAGAGGGTTAGAAAGAAAGAGTCCCCTAAGTTAACTGCACTGCAAGTGGCATGCACCCGGGCCTAGCAGGTGGAGTCCTGACTGCGTTCTGTCCCCGTATGTCCCCAGAGTCCTTGTGTAGTGAACAACACGGTACATGGGTATGTATCAGCAGGATGTTCATGTGCATGGGTATCAGTGGGATGTTCATTTCTTTGAGATCTGACCACTTTAGAGAAGGAGTACAAAAGGACAAGGCTAGAATTGATGCTCACTACTGATCCAACCAAAGGAGATTTTCATCATTACTGCCTTAAAATGTTTCAGGCAATTAAAAAATCCCAAGTTGGGGCCTATGATGCTGCCTAGATCCTGTGCCTGCTCAGCCCACTTGGGTAGCTTCACGGAGTAAGATTAGTAATAATGGTCATTAATAATAATAATGATAACAATATAAACCCATACATTTTATAGAGTCTTACATAACACATTAAATGTTCTTTCTTTTTCAGTTGAAGTTTGATTCTAACCATTGCCCTGGTGAGTAATAATTTTCCTCATTTCAAACACAAGGGAAATGAAGCTGAGTGAGTCACAGTCTTGTTCAAGGGCAGCTCATAAGTGACAGGCCAGGAATCGAACCAACATTTGTCTAGCACCAAATTCAAGGTTGTTTTCTTCCTAGCAAGTTACATTATATTGTGATCTGAACGTGGCCTTGGCATCAATACTTAAAGAACAACTCAGTAAGGGCCTGGATTTCTCCTGAGCAAGTCATCCTCCTCCTTTTAATGAAGTCAGGGCTGACTAAAGTCAGGTGTGCTGACTAAAGATTTGAGTATGCATTCTGAGAAACCTTTGCAGATCTCATAACTGAACTAAATACTCATCTTTCATAAGGAAGAGAGTCCCAGAGATGAGCTCATTTAGAGAAATTTACCTGTGTCATGTGTTACCTGTGTCACCATTAACTCAGAAATCTCTCCACCAATTTAGGAGTTACTAGGCCATACACCTTGGGAAAGCCTTAAGTCTGAGAGCCGTCTCTCCAGATGATATGAAAATAATAGCCACAGGCCACCACCACTGACAGAGTTAAGCCCTTTCAGCCTCATTGTGAAGGTGTCATTCTTACCAGGCCTCTTCAACCATATTTTGAAGGACAGCTGGTGAGATGGTTCAACTGGAGCAACCTTGATCCCTGGATGAGTCCCCAACCTGTATATCCAACTGTCAATCACCCACTCCACCTGGGCCTATCCAAATTAAATACATCTAGCATGCACAGTGCCACCTTCTCCCACAGCCTGCTTTCCAATCTAGTCTCTTTTAGCTGCTATGATTTCCATGCATGGCACCATGGTACGCCTTCTAATCAACCTCTGCCCTCTTTCTACTTCCCTTACATTCTCTTGCTCACGAACTGCTTTCAAGTCTATTTTATAAACCCCATCCCTCCTTTCCTCAGTTTCTACTGCTGCTGTAGAGATCCTCATTGCCATCACTTTTCATCTCTTCCTCGCCAGCCTCCATTTCTCATTAATTCTTAATCCAAACACAAATCTCACTGTGCCCTTCCCTGCTTAAAGAATCCAACTGCCTTCCCACTGCTGCAGGAGGGAGCTATCCTCGGTGATAAAGCACTTTAATCCCCGTACATGCTGTTCCCCCAATCTGTCACCCACTTCATGTTTTTTCCCTTGGTCTAAAAATCCCCCCTTCCCTGGGAACCCTGATCCTTTTCAAGGCCTTGCTCACGCTTCACTTCTCAGGTGTTGACTTGCAGGCTGTTTCTGGGGGAGGAAGTTCTGCTCCCTCATTTGCATATGTTCACTGCTCTTCTCAACCATAGTTTGTTTCTGTAGCATCTCTTTCCCAGACTGGGACTCTCCACATGCAGAAAATATCGTATTCATTCTCTTGAACACCAAGGCCCCGGCCTATCCTTTTCAGATTATAGTAGGCAAAAGTAATATTGAAGGACTATCTGGGCTAGATATACTCTTTCTTTGAAAAAAAAATCAATAAATGTGCTTTTCTTGTGGTACTAGGGTTTGAACTCAGGGCAGGTGCCCTACGACTTGAACCATGCCTCCAATTCTTTATGTCTTTGTTGTTTTTCAGGGAGAGTGGCTGTAGCCTTCCACCATAGCTGTGACCAACCCTAAAGCAATGGTACCCATTATTGAAACAGGGTGTTATTAGTTTTTTGCATGGGCTGACCCCAAACCTCAAACCTCACAATCTCTGCCTGAATTTCCTGTTTAGTAGTTGTTCTCTTGAGTTTAGTCCTGAGGGAAAAGTTAGCCCCCCCCCTTTTTTTTTTCATTCCAGAAGCTGAAAATTAACAAGGTGTGAAGGCTGGAGAAACATTTGCTTTGCAATATGTCTCTTTCCCAGAACTTCATCTAGAGTAGGGATAGAAAGAATTTCAGATAAAAGGAGGATCAGATTTTCCGATACAACCACCTTACCAGTTCATTACTGTACAAGGGGCAGGCACATCAAGCCAAGTGGCTGATGGAGCTGAGTCCCATTAAAGGCCAGTGAGACCTGGGCAAATTCTTTAGGTAGAACTTGCACACCAGGGGCAAGAAGGTTAAGAATAAGAACCAATGCTATTTTCAGTCCTGCTCCATGTAAATCAAGGCTCTTCCATTAACCAATAGGATTTCAGGCTGAGGATTCCATACATTAAGCTTTGGGTTCTTATGAGCTTTAGATAGGTGAATGTCCTCCAAGTGCTCTGGAAAGCAGGTGCTTCTGAGATGGTTAAGTTTCCTCTTTCAGCAGAAAGTGGTCCACTGGCTTGGATATTATTAATTATTATTATTATTATTAAATTGGGACAAGTACTGGTCTCTGCTTCGGTTTGAGTTAGGCAGGGCTGGTTTTTACACTAGCTAACAACAACCTTTTACCTAACTCTGCTGTCCCAGAGCTTTTGTGTGTTTGTTTTAAATAAAAATCCACAGTATTTTCATAAAGCCCTCAAAAATCCTAGGGAAACGGGTCTTGTTCTACTCCCAAGGTGAGGGAGGGAGCCTGAGAGTAGCCATTTAGCCAGTCCAAAAAGAAAAAAAAAAGGGTTCAGAACCTATCTGTGTCACAGTGGATCCCCTGGCGGCTGGAGCAGTGGACAGGTCCCGCTCCACCCTTGGCGCTAGCCAACTTTGTTTTGTTTTTTTTTTTTTTTTTTTTAAATTTAGGATCGTTTGTTAGCTCCATTGACTATTTGGGTTTCTACACAATGAGAACATCAGAGCCCAGGATGCTTTGGGGAAAGTCTGGGGCCTTGATTCTTTTTATTTATTTGTATTATTTTTCTTGGTAAGAGACAGAATACCCATCCGTCCCTTTCCAAGTGCCAGCTGTGGTGCACTGGATTTGAGGACTCCACGCCCGCACTCTGGGGGAGAGGAGCTCCTGTGGGCTCAGCCCAGAGGCAGATGGCCTGCGGGGAACCCTGGCTTAAGGGGTTAAGCTACACACCGAGAGTCTACCGAGCACCCCGGGATCGCACGTCTGTCTGGGACGGATCTCACCAGGGAGGAGTGGGAAGTCTCCTTCTCAAGAGAAGGCAGTCTGAAATGTTATTGGGGAGGAGGGAGGGGGGCAGAGAGAAGTGACCAGAACCGCAGAACGTGCTGACACTCACCTTTGGTCGGGCCGGAGGGCTTCCTGCAGGCGTGGGTCCGCGCCGTCCCGCAGGATCGGTGCGGGCGACCCGGGCTCCGGGGACGCTGTCGGGGCTCCGCGCGCGGCGCCTACCTGCGGCTGCGGCCCGGAGTTGCTGCGCCCGGCCCGCAGCCCGGCCGGACCCCCGCGCTCACCGACGCGACCTGCGGGATCCCACCGGCTGCCCGCCTCGCCCCTCCCCGCCCCGGCCCGAGCGGCCCACCCCGCAGCCGCCCCGCCGTGGCGCGCTGGGACTCGGGCTCGGGCGCACACGGCCCGGGCGCCTCCCGCCCCGTCTCCTGGCCAGGCCCCCGCCCGCCCCCCTCCCGCCCCTCCCGCCCCCCCCTCCCGCCCCTCCCGCCCCTCCCGCCCCTCCCGCCGTGGCGTGTCCTCAACCCCTCCGGCCCGGCCAGGCCCGGCCCCGTGCGCCTCCTGCAGGACGCAGCGCCCGCGCCGGGCATTCCCGACGCGAAACCGCCCCGGGGCAACCTCGGGTCTCACCGCAGCCTGCTTGGGAAGGGGGCCGGGCCCGGGGTTGGTGGGGCAGAGGTCCCCCTGTCCCAGCACCTGTCCCAGGACCAGGGAGGAGGCACCCCCTCTGGGCACTGCAGTGTGCGCCCAGGGGTGCACCCCCCCCCCAAGGAAAAATCGAGAAGATCCAGCACCCCCGTGCGGGTGGGGGGCGGCTCCAGCTCCCACGCGTCCTCAGGGCGTGATCTCCTCTCAGGCCCCGCGGCTCCCCGTCTTTTTGTTTGGTTTAGTTTTTGGTTGGTCATGGGGCTTGAACTCCGGCGGGCGCTGTCCCTGAGCTTTCTTTGCTCAAGGCGGGCCCTCTACCACTTTGAGCCATGGCTTCACTTCTGCTTCTTTTCCTTCCTTCCTTCTTTCCTTCCTTCCTTCCTTTCTTTTCGCTCCCTTTCCCTCCCTTCCTTCCTCCCTCTTACTCTCCCTCCCTCTGCTGTCCCTCCCTCCCTCCCTCCCTTCCTTCCTTCCTTGCATACTTGCAGTTAATTGGAGATGAGAGTCTCAAGGGGACTTTTCTACCCAGGCTGGCTTCCAGCCTCAGATCTCAGCCTCCCTGAGTAGTTAGGATTACAGGTGTGAGCCACCGGTGCCTGGCTCTCAATATATTTTTAATTCAGATCTCTTGGCTCAGGTTCTGAGCAGCTGGACCACTGGCATATGAAAAGGCCTGTGCCAACGTTGTAGATAGCACTCACACCACACGAAGCTCTGATGGTCCTGGCTGGGGGGCGGGTGTGCCCGCTCCAAGGTTACAGCAGGTGGGGGAAGGCTGTGATGGCCAGACTGGCTGTCCAGTACCCAGGGGCCTCCTCCTTGTCATCTTGGGAGGTCCTGCTATGACATGGACATGGATTCTATCTCGAGTGTAATTAGCAGTGGCACAGGTAGTACCTGCCAGGTGCTGGGCTGAGACTTGCTCTCCTCCGGCTGTGTCTAAGCCATGATGTTCTCCAGCCATTGCATGGGAGCATTAATGACTGGTGCAACCAACAGTTCCAACCTAGGAACCAGAGATCCCCGCCTGTTTATCCAGGAGAAGCTAACCGGTTTCTGACTTCAAAGGCCAAAGAAAAAAGCTAGCCCCCCCAGCCAGAAATGCCAAGAATGGTCAGGGAAAGGGGTGGGGGTGAGGGGAAAAAGTTCTTTCAAAGGAATATTAAAGAGAGCTTCTTAGAAAGAACTAAGACTGGATTTAAATTTAAAAGGGGGGGGGGATAAAGGAGTCCCATAAATAAGTAGCTAGCAAGTAGTCAGATAGGTCGGTAGGGTGCGAGAAGGCTGGCTCTTAATGGAGAATCCTTGGGAAGGGAAGAGTGTTTCCACTGAGAAAAACTTGAACTATAAGGACACTTTTTTTAACCTCCTTGTGTGGTGCCTCCCAAATTCTGGACCTTAAGCAGAGCAGAGGAAGACAGGTATGAAGGGAGGATAGGAAGCCTGGAATGCAGGCCAGAAGGTTTGAACACAGGTCTCTTTCCACCTGTAGCTTTAGGCACAATGTATCTTACTCACTTTTGTTTTTCAAATTCTTTACTGTGATTAAGTGATTGCATAATTTCCCAAATGTCACAGTGTTGTGGGATAGTGATGCTTAGTTAAAGTCACAAACACATTCTAACTTTCATGGGGCAAATTGTCTATCATGGTCTGTAACATTTATGAGTTCTATGAGCCTTGCAATACAGTTATTTCTTCCACATTGGGTGATATGTACATTTCTTTTGTTTTGCATAGCATCAGCGGTTTCCTCTTTCCCACTTGTTCCCTCCCTCCCATGGCTGCCATTGAGTTACTTAGCTCATTTTGATCAATGTCCAGTGCAGCTGATGGGTCCCACTGTTGTACTCTTATACATCTATGAGGTGTGATCTGATCCTCCTTTGCAGATGAGGAAAGGGAAGTTGTGGGGAAGATGAGTGACTTCCTCAAGGTCGTAGCTAATAATGGAGCCCAGATTTGATTCCAAGCAGTTGTAATTCTTTGTTTTTTAGTATCATCTCAGCAGGATTGGCTTCTGTGAAAGAGTTCCCCCCTGGAGCAGGGGTGATGTGCAGATCTGTGCAACCAGATGACGTTGCTTAACAATAGTAGACTGGTTCTTGCAGAGGGGATAGGGGTGTAGCTACTTTTAAGGGAAACCAAGAAGAAGCTAAATGAGAGAAGCTTGAGCTCAGAGCTTCATAATTACGGCTGTGAGACGGCAGGAAAAAAAAAGAAACTAGAGGCTTATCTCCAGGGTAGTAGCTCTGCTACCTCAGTTCATCAGGAGAAAAGGCTAGCTGGTACTGACAGCCAGTAGCTTCTGTAGCAGAGAAACCAGGGACTTGTAGGCGGGCAAGATGGTGGATTCACTCCCACTAAGTTGCCAAGATTGCAGTCTCAGGTTCTGGACCGTGCTCAGAAGATGAATGACAGCAGCAAGGAGCGGCATCTGGCCAGGATGTCCTCATTCCGGAAGAATGACGCATCTCCTGTAAAAACACAGGTCAGAACACCCACCTAACACGTTATTCCTTCGGCAGTGAAATCCCATCTCCCGTGAACTCATGAATGGCTCTAGGCAACCACAGTGCAATTATATTTTTCCTCACCCTCATTATTTTTCTTGTTTCACTGAGACTATTTGAAGGTGGTCAAGAGGTTAGTGGGCTCTAGATGGACTGAAACAGAGCATTAACATGTAATTAAGAAAAGAAAAGTCCCAAATAGCAAATTCATGAACTGAGACTGGAAATTTAAACCCCTGTTTCGGGTGACCACCCTCCACTAACTAGCACCTGATGAGCTCTGGTTTCATACTGTTGCGTTTTGGTCAAAAGATGTTGCTTCCCTCCCTATGAAGAACCAATGGAGTATGAAATCTCGAACTTTAGCCTGCTGTGAAGCCCAAGAGGGGCTCACCTGCTCTTCTGTCTTGGTGAGGCTGTGTTTCAGGCAGGTTGATGGCAGTCCCGGCCAGTTCTGCTTCACCTGACTTGTGTGAACTACATGTGGGAGACGTAGGTTTACAAACTTGGAATCTAGAAGCCATTCCGTGTGTGTGTGTGTGTGTGTGTGTGTGTGTGTGTGTGTGTGTGTGTGTGTGTGTGTGTGTGTTTGTAAAATGTGGTTGCATCCAGGAGAATAGAGTGCTGTACAAAAACAAGCCCCTTCATCTGGTGTGGGAAAAGTTAGATTGAGAACGTTATCTTACTCCTATCTACACCTGAGGAGTTTTCTTTTTCTTTTTCTTTTTGGGGGATCCGGTTGTGGGGCTTGAACTCTGGGCCTGGGTGCTGTCCCTCAGCTCTTCAGCTCAAGGCTAGTGCGCTACCACTTGAGCCATGGCACCACTTCCGGCTTTTTTTCTTTTTGCTTATGTGGTGCTGAGGAATCGAACCCAGGGCCTCATGCATGCAAGGCAAGCGCTCTACCACTGAGCCACCTTCCCAGCCACTGAGGAGTTTTCTTAGCTAGAATGTTGTGTGAAGGTCTAGAAGGTGAAAGGAAGGCTAGAGAAAGTCCCTGAGGAGCACCCTGGATAACTAGAAGGAAGAAG